AAGCAACTCAGCCTCCGGTCGCCTCCGGCTCACTCACTTGTAGTTCTGGCACTCGTTCTCGGTGATGTTAAGCTGCGTGTCTAGTTGGTCTAGCAGAGTGTCCGTGCACTCCTCGCACAGAGGGTGATCCACGTCCGTCTGCCCAGACATGATGTCAAAGAGGTCACCAGTGACCTGCAAGAAGAGCTCGCTGTTAGTTCAGGTGAGACAGGCAGCTGCTGGCTGGTTTTCAACAGACGGGCTTGCGCTTCTTTGATCGGCAAAGTATTTTTTGCAGGTCAAATCCTGATTTAACGTAAGCCAGCTTTACCAAACTACTCACCAACACAAATACCGGAAGGCCAGTGCTATGGGCAACTTTGCCATTTAATCTTGCAGAGCATCTAGAAAAACTGATGCTCCACTCAAAAGCATCTGAGTTTACCAGCTCGTGTAAAACTTGCCTTCAGTCTCCGGCTGAGGTTTTCCATCGTGCCGCCATCCGATGCCTCTCCGATCAGCGTGAAACTGTTGGCGCTTTCTGTTGACATCATTCTTGGGAAGAATTTTATTGAGAGTTGAGCGCCGAGGGTCTTAGGGAGCCAGCTCTAGTGCTAGACTTAAATCTGAGACTAGTTCAAGAGTCAGAAAGGAAGAAGAAGCCAAGACGTACTGGCAGAGGGATGGGGGAGCCTGCGTTTCAGGAGGGCCTACGCCGGTAGAGCTTAACCCGAGCTAAGGCAGCAGCCCAAACACCGTGTGTTTCAGGACAGCGAAATGGCCACGCCACTGCCTGCTGGGGAGCCCTGGGGATCCCTCAGGGGAAGCTCTGAGGGGGGTCACAAAACCAGGCTGTTAACTGTGACGCTAACGAGCACCCCCCGTCCGGGGTGATGCCCCGCAGCGGGACCCTTTCCCCCGGCGGTTCCTCGGTGCCAACTTGGGCTGCCAGGGGCTGCGTGGAAGCCGCCTGGGCTCGGAGCTGGGGCAGGGAGCGTACCTGGCTGGCGGGATGAACCTCCTGGACAC